GGTTGAGGAATATTGAGTAAATAGAAATAAAATAAAAAGGGAAAAATGAGCCAAAATATATTTATTCTAGTTTGAGTTAGAATAAATTTGCTTGTGTTTTCTATTTATGTAACAATAACTAGAGAAAATAGAAAAAGAGTTTTCATTTAATTGGTTAATTTGCAAAATAAATAAAAGTAATTAATTTTGATTCTTCATTATTTACTCTAATGTTCCATACAATTAAAACATGAGTTATATACATTTGATTGATGTGTTTCTACACACATTTTCAGACACACTTGTCAAACTATGTCACATTGAACTTAGAAACTTGTAACAATATCAAAAGGATTCTCTATCAAAAAGGTTCTCTATCAAATGATTTGGTCAAAGTAAGAAGCACCAGAAATACATAGGATCTGATAATAATGAAGTGAGCAATATGATATTAAATATCAAGCTTCAATGGTAGTGGGCAATAGTTGTACATTGATAGAGAACGTTTACAAATAATGTTTACATATGAGCCATATAATGTTTACAAATAGTAAACATCAATCGTCTCAAAGATAATAAGTAGATAATGTCTAGCGAAAATTTTAATAAAAAATTCATAGCTTGGCTTGGTCACTAGACTCCTAAATCAATCACAATACCCACAATCGAAAGAAAACAGAATAAACCATACTCTAACATGGCTGAGGAGGACTTGGAATCTAGCCCCGATGCTGTTGATGATCTCATGGGATTCCCCCATGAATCCAAGAAGCTTTGGACCCAGTCCAGACATTGGCTTCAGAACATACTTCTTGCTGTCGGTGACCACATTGCCAAGTACATAAGTTTTGAATATGAAGTAAAGACCTCTATCGTCACAACTTGAGAAATTGCTACTTCAGAATCCGGTGATGTGAGTGTATATGAGATGGTCACTGATTCAATATACTCCCCTGGATCCGCAAACTTGATCATGTTCTGAAAAACAAAACAATTATCGACTTAGCATTTAAAAAAGCAAACAAAGTACAAGCACAAACTTTTTCTTACTAACAAAAAATAATCTCTATATCTTACTAGAAGTTTTAATACTAAACCAAGTGTAAACCAGCTAAGCACATTCTACAGTAATAAGAACTTATAATTAAGAAATATCAGAAGCAGAAACTTCATACCTCCATTGTGCCTTCTATGTATGACCCATGTTCTCTTGTCTCAAAGCTGTTTCCTACGACTTACTGGATTCGAAGAAAGGAAAGACAACTTGCGGAACTCGTCCACGCCAAGGAATTGACACTGTGGAAGATTCCATCATGAAAGATCAGGTGGTAACCCCACCAATAGGACGCACCACCTCTGACTTTGGATTTGTCTCGAAGGTGGGGGGAGCTTGTATGCAGAAACAATATTCAATCATTCAGTCGATCCTATCATGATATTTAATTGCTTTACCTTTTAATCTCCAAAGCTTCCATGTTTTACCCTTCTTCTTCTTCATAAAAAAAGCAAAGTTAAATAGCTAAATCATTTTAATTTTTTACCCTTCTTCTTCTTCATAAAAAAAGCAAAGTTAGAATGCTTGTGTTGCTTCTGCCCAAGACCAGTACTGTGATTTATAAACAAGACATATCAATACATTAACTTTGCTTTTTTATGAAGACGAAGAAGGGTAAAACATGAAAATGATTTATCCGATTCTAAGGATAATCTTAACACTAATCGACAAAACCATCCATAAATTAACTTTTAAATGATTTTCGATGAAGAACAATAAGGGTAAAAACATCAAATGATTTTCTCTATATGTCTCAAGGATAAGTCTTATAACTACTCAACTAAATCAAATATAAATATCAAATATAAAAATTTCGAGAGTTCAATTTTCAAGAAAACTAAAGAGCACAAAATTAATAATAATTCATAGAAAACTAATGCAAACAGCTAAAAAAATTAGTATGTTATTTCATTTTAGAATAAATTAACAAAAAAACAGGTTAATATATGAATAGTACAATTACTTCAAACTGCTTCAAGTTATAATTTTTTAATATAATATTATATACAAATAAAAAATTATTATTAAACATTTATATTATATAATAATATATTTTACTCTATATGTAAATTACAAAACATAAAATATTTTTTTTATATATAAAACCAGCGGTTTATGAGTTTAATTTGAAGACAAGTTAAATCAAATACCCGCACATGACTGCGGGTCAAATTCTAGTATATATTAATGGAGAAACATTATAACATTTTAGGTAGTCATGTGTCATTACCACAATGAGTCTTAAAAAATCTTAGAAAAATAGGTTAGTCCATCTATGTTTATAATAAGCTTTTTATCAAACTAACCATAAATTTATCATTAATGTTCTTCATTATTTCCTTAAATAAAATAACAAAATTTTCTAATGCGACTAAAGTATATAAAAATAATAAAATTAATTTATCATCTATCATATTTTTAAATTTTTAAATTAACAAAGACAAATTAAACAACTATATTTTCCATAAAAACAAAAAATCAGATTTTTTGGTCTATGTTATATTTTGATTTTTTTTTAAACGACTATAAATTGCTAAAACTATTAATTCCACAATAGAATTTTGTTATCAGTGATTTCAATTTTTTGTTATAAACAAAAATAATCAAAAACCATATGAGTAGAAAGTATTACTTAATATATATCAATACTAAAAATACACAATATAGACGTTAATGTCATTTAAATTTAATTATATACCACATAAAATAAAAAAAATATTTTTTTAATGACATTTATTTATGTGTTCACACCAATTTAATTATATATGTATTAGTTACTGATTCTGAATTATTCAATATATATTATATTATTTTATAATATAAAAAACTAGGTCGAGTCCGTCCTACGAGCGGGATATACTTTACTTGTGATTTAGGTTACTATTTTTTGTATGATTTCGTGATTTTTCTTTAAGTTTACATTTGCAAGAGATTCATATGATAATTATTTTTGTCTTTTATAAAGTTTTAAGGGAGAAAAGATTATATGTGGTAAGATATATTTTGCTTACCTACAGTAGTTATTTCCATATTAAATAGTTATGACACTGATATGTTGTGCGGGATTCAAGATGATATTTATGTTGTTTCTTTTAAAAACATTTGATCTCATATTCAATGTCAAAATGGTTTACTTTTTTCAATATTAATTCTTGTACAAATTAAATAATTTTTTATTTAATCTCATACACTGATTTTAGAGTCATTGATCTGAAATGAACGGTTTTAATAGATTTAAATTCATCTATGTTACAACTTAAATAAAAAAAAATACACTTGTTAAATATTTAAATTGTATGTTTAAAGAGAATCATGAACATCGATCCTTCATGAAACTTCTATGTAAATAAGGCTTAGTAAATTATAAATTTCTCTTTTTTAGAAAAAAAAATTCTCTTTTAATTTTTTTATACTATTTTATAATATTTTTCTCTTCAATATTTCATTTCAAAAATAGATTACTATAAAAATAGAGAGAAGTTTTGTTCCAAGGAGTATCTCAATTTTTTTGTCTAAAAGAAAATATGCTTACTATATTCTTTCTCCACTTATTTATTAATTTATTGTTTAACCCATATTTGAAAATATTGAATTTGTACTCTCATATTTAATCACTTTGATGTTGTAAATAAAACATTGAATTATCTAAAGAACTGTAAGAAAATAAATGTTAGCCAATGGATAATGAAGTAATGCTTCTTTAGACTTAATGAGAACTCCCAAACGATGATGAACCCTAATGAAGGTTATAGTTTTATAAGTCCAAGGCGATCCTGCTATTGTGTAAGTTTTAGGCCAAATTACGTTATTCAAAGCCCATAATAAAATATTCATGTAAGTCCAATAAAAAAGATAAAATTATTTGTAAAGAGACACGTATCAATGTTACACTCTTAAAGAAGAGAAAAAACCCTACTTTTATATATTATAGATATTTGTATAACTAATTTATTAATTATTATTTTTAATAAATTATGATGTGTTTTGATTATGATACAAAATGATAATGATTGTTCATGTTAATTTCAGTTTAATTACATGTATCTAAATTAAAAAATTATGTATGATTGTTTATGTTCTGTTTTCAGTTTATTCATATATTTTAAAATAATAAATTATGTATAAATTTAATATTTATTTAAAATCAATTTATATATTTGTTTTCATCGGTATTGAGTTGTGCTAAATTCACTGTGAGGTTGAGGAAGATAATAAGCGTTAAGCCTCTTCCGGACTTGAATTTGTTAGTGAATAGAAAGTTCAAATACGAAACCCATAAATATTAAACATAACCGTAAATGAAATGCAAAGTATTGTGAAAAGGAACACATGTCGTGATAAAGTGAAGCAAATTAATGATGTGGCATGCACTTGAATGAAAAAAAATTGTACTTTATATAGATAGATATAATTCATATGAATAATAAAAAAAAAAATATATATATATATATATATATATATATGCTTAAAGGGTAGATCTTAATCTAGGAAGTTTTATTATGCCGTAACAAAATAATTAGTTTGATCACGAGTCGTTGTTATCATTTTACATACCTTTATTCTCTTTTTGGCGGCAAGTTTACAACTTCTTAAACATTTTACTACTGGCAAATAATAATAAAAACCTTTATTAGACCACTTTCCTTTTTAAGTGATATATCTTTCCATTATATGTTTTTGGTATAGCTTTTCCATTATATATATATATATATATATATGTTTTTACAAGGTTATTCCATTATTTCATTTGTCAGCAAAATATAAACAAATTATTTGGGAAAATGGAAAAAGAAAAGAAAAAAAGGAACAAAGAAGGTAAATATGAGAAGAAAATTTCCAGCGAAGAGCACTTTCCTTTTCTCTCCCTTTTGTGTCTCCTATAACAGGCTAACAGCCCTACGTAGTTGAAGTTTGAATCAACGCCTCCTTCGTTTACAACTGTGAGAATTTACTGCTGAAGAAGAAGATGAAAACTGTGAGGATGTTGCTTACTTTGTTCTGTTTCGTTGCCTTGGTGTACGGGCAACCGAGTCCTGATACGGCCACCATGTTCGCTCTGAGAGACTCTCTGAAGTCGGAACACCTCAACTGGTCCGACCCGAACCCTTGTGTGTGGACAGGTGTAGCATGCGACGCAGGAAGCCATCGTGTCAGCCGGATCGAGATTGGGAACAGAGGAATCTCGGGAACCCTAACTTCTGCTCTAAGAAACCTCTCGGCTTTGACTGTTTTTGACGTCATGGGTAACAACTTAACCGGGAAGATCCCGAGTCTTAGTGGGTTGAAATCGTTAGAGAGGGTTTTGGTTAATGACAATGGCTTCACTTCCATCGACTCAGACTTCTTCACCGGTTTGAGTTCCCTCCGGTTTCTGAATCTTGACAACAACCCGTTGCGTCCCTGGAACATCCCTTACAGCTTAACAGACGCGGCTTCTCTTGTAGCTTTCTCTGCCGCCAACTCCAATCTTTCCGGGGAGATCCCTGACCTTCACTGGAATATAACGTTCCGTACATTGTCGACGCTGACACTGTCTAGTAACTCGCTCGTTGGTGAACTTCCGATGAGCTTCGCTGGATCATCTATTCAGATTCTGACGCTAAACGGACAAAACCTCAAAGGGTCAATCTCGGTTCTGACAAAGATGCATGCTTTAACCAAAGCATGGCTGCAAGAAAACAGGTTCTCAGGAGCCATACCGGTCTTTTCTGGTCTGACCTCGCTGAAACTCCTCAACGTCAGCGGAAATCAGCTCATGGGTACTGTACCTCAATCTATATTCAAGTTGTCGTCTCTTTCTTACGTGGGTTTAGGAAACTAATGTTTTGGCTTCCATAACACTAATTTATAAGTCAAATGTTATACGTACAGCCGAGGAGATCACCGAACTTTGGCTGGAGTATGAGAACAATGCTTCTTTAGAGGCAAATCTTGTAAAAGACTTTGATAAGGTAATCATTTTGCAACCATTAATAGTTAAAACTTACACAAAAGATATATTACACTGACTCTTGTTCTTATTGCGTGTGGTTCTAAGGTTGAGATGATTCTCCAGGCACAAGAATATTAATCAGGTAAGTCTCAGTCTTTATATTTCTAATGACTTGTGCTTGTTATCCCTCTTACATCCCAAGAATTCTGAGTCAACGTTTGGACATTGTGGCAGAACATGGGGACCTCAAATGCGAAACTCTGGTTGGTCTAGTTCGAAACCATGAAGGAAATGATGAGAATGGGACACAACGTGTAAACTATTACGCCGGGGGCGTGGAGGAGATTTCGTTTTCTTACATGAGAACTCACTTCTGCATCTTGGTGATGTTAACTGCTTGTTATCATGTCCTCTCAAGTTTATGCTAAATTCATAAGTCAACAATCTTTCTTTATGTCACGAAACTTTTCCATTGACATCTGGTCAATTGAGTAAATTTGCCAAATATAAGATGAGAATAGACCTGTTTTTCCTTCGTATGAACCACCTTCATGTTGTTGAATAGTATCAGAGGGAACAAGGATATATACAGCCACAGTTCTATTGAGGTCAAGATTCCTAAATATGCCGGTAGATATGTATGGCTCAATCCTCACATGGTGAATTATTCTATATAATATCTTTTGTAATCCTTCAAGTTTTGTGAATATCATCACAGAGTGATGGAAGAAGATTGTGGTGCATTTTGTAGCAGACTGTGTTGTTCTGTCATGCTGCTGCCAGTGTGCCTTGTGTTACAAGTCACTTGGTTTGTGTTCTTCAAGATCCCTCCTCTTAAACTTGTCCAGAAGATGAAGCAGTTTGCGAAGAGAAGATGTGGAAGCACCTTAAAACCAGCAATGGAGGAGGATGTCAGTTAAAGAAGGGCATTGGTGTGTGGAATGGGTTAGGAAGGCTCGTCAAGATTTAATTGCATTGAAGAAGACATTGAGAGAATGTTGCAAGAACTGTCTATGAACAAAGAGTTCTTGTTTGGAAGCTTCTGGCGCCATGTAGATTCTTCTGACATTCTGGATGTTAACAAAGATGCATGATTCAACCAAGGCATGGCTGCAAGAAAACCGGTTCTCTCTTTTTTTTTTTTGAACACCAATTGATTATATTAAAATAAAAACCCTACGGGTTGAAATGAACTACAACAAAAGCCGTGCTCATTGATAAGAAGATAGTAACCAGAGATATACTCGACGGTAGAACAAAGCTAGAAAACATTACGAAATAAGTAAAGATAATACCATCTCGGGACGAGTCATGCTCAGTGAAATGAAGAAACTCAAAAGGAAGCTTCACTTTTGTTCCCATGGCGATTGTTCGGAAGAACAATTGATAGTCGAAACGACGTTGAAATACCTATAAAAAGCCGTTGAAATGTTGACCATCGAGAACCTTAGGTGAGAAGCTCTAGAACCATAGGCAACATTGAGAGAACAGAGTCCTATCTGACTTGATATAACGCTGAAACTAGCACAAACAGCTTCTTATCAGATGAGCTTTTGCTTCTTATCAGATGAGCTTTTGCTTCTTCTCAGGTACCATAATGGTGGGTTCTCTTATTGGTAATTACTGTTTGCTTTTGCTTCTTATCAGATGAGCTTTCTGTAAATAGTTATTCAATAAATTAATAAATTCATTTGGTATGATATTTAACCAAACAAGAATTTCATAATACATAGTTTTTTTTATAAGTTATTCTAAATTGTCATGACATTTTTACGCTAAGTTAGATTAATTAATGAGTATCAAATATAATCAACACTTGTCAACAAGTGTCACAACACTTGTCAAACAAAATCAGAAACAACTTCTAAATATTTAGGGCTTGACTGGGTTCCCTGCTACCACCCGCAAATACAGTTTTTGCAGTTGATAGCGGTTGTTGGCGTTTTACAACAATCACAAAACTACTACAAATCACTTCAAATCGCTCCCAATCTCTTAAAATCAAAAGCTGGTTCAAGCTATCGTTTGTGATTGCGGGCGGTTGCGGATAGGTAAAAAAATATTTTTATTTTAAATTTAAGTTAAAATATAAAAATAGAAATATTATAACTAAAATTATATCTACCTTTTATATATATTTTAATTTAAATTCATTAAAAATATCATAATTTATTTATAAAAACTTCAAGAGTTTCACTATATTTTTAAATATATAAATATGTTTAATTATATTACATTAACAATTATTATTTTTTATCATAACAATATGTTTTGATATTTTTATAATGTTATAATATGTTAATATTGGTAATTTATTATTGAACCGCTGCAGTATCTCATAATCAACCAGTCATAAATGTCCTGCAAACGCACCAGTTTTTAATCGATGTACCAGTCGTACAAATCGTCTAATAACGCTAGAAACCGCAACCACTCACATCTGCAAACTCCCGCAACCGCAACCACAACCGCTGTGTTTCAACCAGTCAGGCCCTAATAAGATAGTCATAGAGATGGTGATACATAGTCTGAAATGAAGATAGTGTTTTGACTTGCAAATTTAGATAAGAGTATAGATTGACACACCTACATCCCTCCCAAAGCAAGCACAACAATAACACTAAAAACATAATAGAACATAGCATTCTCTGTTGTTTTGGGAGAGGAAGACTTGTAGAACCAAGCCCCAACATTGTTGAGAACATCATGGGATGTTCCCATGAACTCTACCAGCTTAGGTCCTAGTCCTCTCTTTGGCTTAAGGATGTAATTGATGGCATTGGAATCCAAAGTGCCAAGACAAAGTTCCTTGAGTATGATGTTGTAATCTCCATTGCCACCACTTTAGGAGTTGCCACTTGAGGATCCATGGAGCTGAGAGTCCATGAGATGATCATGAAGGTAATATGTTCTTCATGATACTCCAATTCCACCGTTGACTGACATCAAAGAAATTATAAATAAATAAGCGAGACAAATAATGATTAAATTTGTTGGCGTTATTGTAAATATCACACCTCAGTTTGGTTTTGCCCTTCCAAGTTGGAGCCATGATCTCTAGTCTCAAATATGGTTCCTTGGACATACTGCATCCTCAAGAATGCAATGGAATTGTTGAAGCTCCTCCCAGTCACCATCCTCATGATATGCTCAAATTAACCTTCAAGCTACTCTCTCAAATAAGAGGTTCGATGTAGTACTTGAGGATCGAATCCACAGAGACCAATTATTACACTTTATTTTTATAGGATCAATATTAAGCTAAAACAATATGGGATTTTTAAATTAAGAAAACGTAGAAAGCAAGTAACAAGTTGGTTTGGGTTTCAGATTAAAGAGAATGCTAGCCTAGGGTGAAGGATTGGGTATCAAACGATCATGAGCCAAACATCTATTCAAGGTTTTATTAAGCACAAGTCTAGAACTCAAAAGACAAATAAAGATTGACCCACTGTCGTGGTATCTCCCCTTTTGACAATCAGCCTTAATACCTAAACTCTCGTTTGGACTAAAACATGAAGGCAAACATTAAGATCAGATTCGATAAGTTCACAGCACGCCCTAACATCTACTTTCGCTGGTTAGGGACGAACTGCCCATTCAAGTTATTTCTAGCAACCTAAAACACTTTTGATGAATAGATTAAACCTAGAATCAGGCACTAAGTAGCTACTTTAATGCAGGCAATAAGTATGAACATGAATGGAGACAATCAAATAATGAACCTTATTTGTATTTAGCTCATGGATCTAAACACCCTAACACCCTAGACTAAGCAAGCTGACTACTCAGCCATGAACAGAGAAAACACAGAGATTAGAGATGAAGAAAACATTGCTGAATCAATAAATAATAAGTAAGAGGGTTCAGAAATCTTCTCCAAAGGTTGTAGAGATCCTTCTCCCTCAAAATTACAAAGTATTGAAGTCACAATAATCCAAAAGCTCTAGAGTTGTTTCTCTGGTAAAAAGTAGCGTAGAATAATGTAGAAAATAGGAAAAGAAGATATATGGAGGCTGCTGGCGGCTGGGAGAGAAAAAT